GGGGGGGGGGGGGTTGTATTATTAATTACTGTGCTAAGATTGTATAGTCTGAAGGAAGAACATGCATGCATAGTTTCTTTGTAATATGAAAGTTTCCCTCAACCGTCCTTACTGCAAAATTACTTACTGAAACCATCCATAGTTATTAGAGTGCTCACCACTAGGTAATCTATTGGCATCTTTGCCCCCCTCGCTATGTCTGTTTCTACATTAACTTACTGAATTTTGTGTTGTGTACACCCCACGCTAAACACACTATCAACCTATGCTGTGGTATAGTTTTTATTGGCCTCTTTCATCTGAGTATTTGACTGCTAATTATAGCTACCTTTCATGTGACACTTATCCATCTAGTGCTTTTCATCTTCAAAGCATTCCACAGACCTGACCTAATGATGTTTTACAACTACTGTGGAGCAGAAGTGTCAAACATGTGGCCAGTGGGCCAGATCTAGCTGCTGTGCCTGACCCAGTGCGCCGTGGAATATTGGGCTGTGGCTAGCAGTGAGCAGGGTCTGCCACAGAGTCGAGGGCCCCAGTGGACGTGGCACTCAGCAGCAGAGGGGCGAGCAAGGGCTGTGCCACAGCCCTACTTGCCTTGCAGCTGCTCAGTTCACCACCTCCATCACAGCAAGCAGCCACTTGGCCACAAACTGCTTGCCCCACTGCCACTGTTGCGGTGGCTGTCCGTCCCATCCCGTCCCCACCCCCCCCCCGGTCTGGCCCACCAAAGAGCTTTTCAGTCCAGACCTAGCCTAGGTATTAGTATTCCCTGGGATCTTGGATGTCCTGGCTGCTTGAATTGAAGCATGACCTAGTTGATCTAAAGTTCTTATTGGAGGGTGCACCAAAGACAGGTAAGTAGTGACGCAGCCTCGTTATCCTTTTTATTTTTATTGCTGCCTGAACTTGCCTCTGTTTGTTGTATTAAGGTTTTTAATAGCATACAGAATATTGCATTCCTTTATAGTAAATACCTTCATCGTATCTTGATTTGCTCTTCAAACTGACATTGTTAGGAGTTTAGAAAACCTAGTTGTTACAAATTAAGGCTTGAAAGCATCATCAATATGTAATAGATTGCACAAAAAGTCCAAAGGAGTCATTTGGAGTTAGTTTTATGTTACCCACACTGCTGGTGTACTGAAAACCAATATACCAGTTTCTTAAGTTGAGTAAATGTGATTTTAACAGTTATTGATTTTTTTTTTTTGGGTGGGGGGGGGGGTGCTGCATTGTTACTTCTGCATGTTTTAGACAGAAATGCTATATAATAGATAAATCAAAGTCAGTATGTTACTGTAGAACTTACTGAGCTAATTGCACTATACAGACCAGAATACAGTTATATTTGCTGAGTGCTACTAATGATGCTACCAGAAATTACGAGACACTAGGTTTCACTGAAGCTAAGGGATTAATGCAATTACTTCAAAGCAGACAATGTGGCGTCAGCTACAAACAGTGAGATAAACAACCAAAGAATTGAAGGTGGCTGTTTTTCATATTCTATCATATATGTGTTATATGAAACAAACTATTTAGTTGCCTAGCTGAACATGTTTTGTGTTGTTTATTAGAGCCACCGCAACTTGTATTTATTTGTACAGTCTGGAATTATTGACCTTTCACTTACAGGTGGTAAAATATAATAAGATAATATTAAGTTTTAAAAATAAAGTCCTTTGCCTTAAAAGTTTTTATTTGCTTCACTAGATGCAGGTTTTGAAGTTCAATTTACGTTGACATCTTTAAGTATTTACATTCAGATTTTTTTTTTCTAGTACTCTTTCTCCATAAGTTCTTTCTGCTGTTATGTTGCTACAATTAGAAATCAAAAGGACTGCACAGTTCTGTGTTGGAAAAAGTGTAGTAGGCCATATCTGGCCATCCTTTATTAAATGGAACTCCCACAGAAATAACGTAAGAGCTGGACATAAAAATCAGTGGCAGGATGTAGCCCACTAGTAACTACTGAAGGCTGCAGAAAGATGTTCTCAAGATGTATATCTTTATAATTATGTAGAAGATTTAGGGGGGGTTGTCTATCCATCACAGAAAGACTCCATCTCCAAGTCTGTTTCTTGTACAGCTTGAATCTGATTTTTCATGATTCCAGTGAGACATTGTAAGTAAAATAACAAAGAAGAAAAAGATATTAATATTGATACAACTGCTATCATTCCTTAAGCAGATTCTCTGAAATTACTAAACACTTATTAAGAATCTGAAAATGGTGAATTATATTTGAAAATGGTATGCAATCTTAGTTGTAGTTAGTGCTACCAGGTCTTCCTGTAATATATTTAGCCTTATTGTGAAGATCAATAAGATGGATCCAGTTCCAAATTAAGACTCAAATCTAGTAAGGATCTGATAGTATAATGGATAATATAATAATGTAACATTAAAAATCCAAGGCTGAGGTCATGATTTATTTGCTTTCACTGCTGACACACAACCATTATAGCCCTCTAATGCACTATTATATTAATATTGAATATAGATATATAGTTTTCATTCATGCTATTGCAATATAAAATCAGGTCCAAAGTCATTGATTGGTGATTATTTTTAAAAATCAATTTGTAGCCATAATTTTTTTAATGCAACTTGTATAGAAGATGGTGTGTGCACACACACTTCTAGCCATTCTTTATCTCATCAATACATTGTTCATAGCAGTAAAAAAAAATAATTGCATAAGAAAATATAAGCAGAAAAATTGACTGTGAAACTTAGACTTGTCTGGTTACATGTATGGGGGTTATTTGTACCCTTCTGTAGCCATTGTTTTAGACTTATTCATTTATAGTAAGAGAGTTTATCATTATCAACACCATCATTATTATTGGCTATATTTGCATATGTTAAGTGGAGTCGGTGGATAGTGGCACCACCTGAGGATCTGCCTTGCAAAACATGAGACTCCTAAGTCTCTCCTTAAAGTCAGAGTTGTGATGGTTAAAAATGGATCAAGTTAGAAATAAAGTCCAAATTCTAGTAAGGGTTGGTAGTATGATGCAAGCAGCCTCCGTAAGAGATGTTTTTCTCAATGTCTTAATTTTACAAAAGAAAGAAACTTTCAAGCAGGAATGTTGTTGCTTAGTAAACTGTTTTGCTATAAATATTTATCTAGACTGGACTGTCCAACTGCAGCCCATAGGCTGCCTGTGAGGTGGTAAGTTGTTATCCCCTGGGCTCTCACGCAGGTGCTACCTTTCTGCATAGCTCTGGCTGCAAGAGTAGCCATATTTTCTGCACTCTCCCCCCTCCCCACCCCATTCTCTCCCCCAGATGCTGCTTCCTGCCCCAGCTCCCCAGGGGAAGCTGAGGGTAAGTCTGGTGCAGCGGGGAATGTAATAACGCCTGTGCAGTAGAGGAGGGGGGTATGTGATGCAGTAGTGAGGGGTGCCCTAGATGGAAGAGGGGTGCCCACAGCTATGTGGTTCAGCAAAGCAGGGCATCCCGGCACCATGAAGCCTGGGTACCCATGGCTTGTGTGACATGTGGCCCACTGGTGCACCCTGTGGGCATGCAGCCTGCAGCCACTTAGAAGCTGAGCATCCCTAATCTAGATACGTCTCTCCAGCTGCAGTAAGGAGTTTTGTTTAATTCTAGGCTGACTGATATGAAGGACTCTTTGGTGAGAACTGGAAGGCAGATTAGGCCTATTTCTGCTTTGGCTTTCTTTGCAAAAACAAAACCATATTTAAGTTGAGCCAAATTAAAAATGATCTAGTCTTGTCCCTGGATATTGTGTTGGCAACCAGTATGAAGGCAGTTTTCAGGCTGAATGGGCAGGGCATGCCTGAGGCCCAGAAGTCTGAGATAAATAATAGATGGTACAGCAGAAGCAACTGAAACCAGAGTTCTCATTTTGAGACTTCAGCATCTATGTTTTGAGTGTACCAGAAGAGCATGGTGATGGGTTTAACATTTATACACAATATGAGCAAAGTTAATTTTGTGTTTGAGTCAGGTAAAAAAATTAACTTCATTGTGACTGATACAATAATACGTTCTTGTTCTCCTGCATCTTAGGCTCAGAAAAATGAGAGAGAATCTATCAGGCAGAAACTGGCACTTGGAAGTTTCTTTGATGATGGTCCAGGAATTTACACCAGCTGTAGCAAAAGTGGCAAGCCAAGCCTTTCTTCTCGGTAAGTGAAATGACTTAAGAAACTTTTCTCATTTTTCTGACTTGTAAAATATATAGCATCAAACTGAGTGTAAAGATAAATATGGGGGGAAATCAACTTGAAAGTTGCCATGTATGATATCTCTAGCATGAAGTCCTGTCAGAGAATCATTTAGGTAAGATCCTTGCTGCCTTAGACTCTATTATTTCTCTGTATCCTCCCTTGATTTTTATTGGCAGGCATATCTTTTAATTGCCCCTCATTTTAAACTCACAGTTCCCTGTGCTCCACACAGACTTGGCGTATGTCACGTCAATTGTAAATAATTTACAAAAAGCCCTGAAATTGCAGTTACTGAAAGCATTGTTGTTGTAATTAACCCAGTCCGCCTAGTTATCCTACATGAATCATTTTTATGTCCCTCACTGTGGACCACGGGGTGGGGGCGCAGTCCTCAACTCTCCCTCAGACCCACACCCTGCCTACCCAAGCTCCATGCACCCTGGCCCCACCCAGCTGCAACTTTCCATCCACCCCACCGCTTCCCTACCTGCTCCCCAGAGTGAGTGCTGCAGCAGGGAGACAAGGGGAGCTGCTGGAGGCTGAGCAGATCCCTTGGTGGCTGCAGCAGCGGCAGGAGCAGCCCTTCAAGGAAACTGCATGCTGGCTGGGCCAGGCCCCTTCACACACCAGGGTGGGAGCAGTGCGTGCAGGCTGAGTGAGGTACAATTAATTGGTGGGTGCACGGAGCCTGGATGGAATTGCATGGCAGGCCAGATCTGGCCCACGGGCCGTATTTTGCCCACCCCCAAGTTAATCAGTCTTTGGCATGGAAGAAGTTAGGGCAGAGGTAGGCAATTATTTTAGCTGGAGGGCCACTTAATGAGATTTGGTGAGCTGTCAAGGGCTGCAAGGGTAGCCCTCCCCCTTGACAGGAGCTCTGCCCCCTGGTCACCATCTTGAGACAGAAAGTCCTGCCCACCCCCCCCAGCCCCTGTTCTGTGCCCCAGATGTCTCTCTTCTTGCTCCCAGTAGTTCTGCTTTTGGGAGGGGAAGGTTACTATCTTGGAACCAGAAAAAAAAACCAAATCATATACTAAAAGTCACACACCTACTATAACATATTTCAATTTTATTACAAAAAATATTTTTGTCGTGATTTGTGTTTATATAGTGTTTATAGAGATGATTGCATAATTACTCAAGAATAAAGTCTTACTCTTTTATGTTTTGTGCGGGGTATGGTTGGGGGGGTGTATGGTGGGGTGTGGGAGTTGTGAGGGGGTGTGACTGTGTGGGGGCATAGGGTATGTTGGGAAGATGTACATGTGAGGGGTGGTTGTGGGGGCAGAGTATGGCTGTATAGGATTTGTGGGGTGTGAGGGAAGGTTGGGGTGAGTGTGAAGACCCTCCCCCACCCTGCCACTCTTCCCAGGTGCGCTCATGGCCTGTGCCGCCCCGCAGCGCATGGCACCATCCATTTCTGGGAACTGCATATGGCAGCAAAGAGCACAGCCAGGCTGGCTTGCCTCAGTTGCACAGGGCTCCCCATGGCACTCATGCACCCTCAGTGGAAGCTCCACTCAGTGGAGCCAGCTGCCTTCCCCACCCCTTGCAATTCAGAAATGGAGGGGAGCCTGGCAGAGTCCTGGTATAGGGTCCTCCTTGCTATCACGTACAGCGCTAACCAGAGCCACATGCTGCCGTGTGGCAGCACCTGCCCACGCCACAAGTGCCTGCTGCTGCTGCTGCTACTGGCAGCAGGGGCTATGCGCCATTAAGGGGTGCATGGGAGGGGTCCCCACACTGCCCCCACCCTCCCTCACACCCACACCCTGCCCACCCAAGCTCCACACTCCTGCTGCCCCCCTGGGCACAGGCTCTGCACTCCCCCAACCCCACACTCCTGCCCAGCTGCAGCTCCCCCTGCCCCTGTTGCTTCCCTACCTGCTGCCCAGAGCGAGCCCTCTAGCAGGGAGACAAGGAGGAGCTGCTGGATGCAGGTGAAGCGAAGCAGGTTCCCTGGTGGCTGCAGCAGTGGCTAGGCCAGGCCCCTTCTGTGCACAAGGGTGGAAGTGAAGTGAGCAGGCTGGGCAGGGTACAATTAGTTGGTGGGCACCTGGAGGCCAAGTGAAATTGCCTGGCGGGCTAGATTTTGCCGGCCCCTGAGTTAGGGAGTCTATCTGATAGTCTGCCCTGCTCACTTTCTAGAGTTTTGAAACAATCCACTGATTAACTATGAAACATCAGAATGGTGGTAGAATGACTTGCTACTTGATATGCAAAATTCTCTTTTTGATTCATTTCTTACTCTGACCTTTCTGAGAATATCAAAATGTTTTTTCTGAGTATATCCAAAATAAATTAAAAACCACATGCAAATCTCATCCCAGTAGTTAGCCGTATTAATAGCATTGCTCTGAACAATAGAAATATTGCAGCTTTTCTTCTCATGTCATATGCAAGTAGCATTAGCACTCGCAAGATATTACAAGTTATCCGTGGGCATAGTTCCACCAGGATGTCTGCATTCCGAAAATCAGAACCACATTTTTGTCTTTCTTGAGGCATGCCATTAAACTGGTCAATGGATGAAATGTGCTTGTTAAGATATATTACTTTTTAGCAGGTACTTTCTAGAAAGGAAATGAGCAAAAGGCAAACACATGGGTGGTTCCCTAGCTGGAATTAAAAAAGACATGATCCAATTGAGGAGGTTGAAGAATTATGGTTATGGTTTCCAGAATGCTAGCATTGCCCTGGGGCAACAACAATTTGTGCATACTTTAGCAATCTTCTTTTACGGAAGCCTTAAATATTCTGTACAGGAGCTGAAATACAAATTACTCATGAAGGTGCTATGTATGCAAAGCCAGGATAGGAGCCTTTCTCCTAGGCTCGAGACAAGAAGTTACATATAAAGCTGTTTAAGTGATCAGAAACTGGCAACAGAACATATGTTCAGCGCACATAAACCAGTTTCAAAATAGCTAAAACTGGTTTTAAGATGAACGTGATTGAATGTAGTATCAGACTTAACTGATTTGGGTCACACCAGTTTATGCAGTTTCTGTTCCTGACCCCTTCCTCTTTTAAGTTAAACCAGAGTTCTCCAGCATGCTCCTGAGTTCTGGGCTGAGCTGTGGTCTGTTCCAGAGAGCAGAGCTGGACCTGCCCCTCTGCTCTTTAGCCTGAGCAGGGGCAAGCGTGTGGCCAGATGCATCTGGGCATTGCCCCATTAAGCAAAGTGGACAGGGAGGGGATTCATTCATCCCTCCATCCCCTCCACCACAGCCAGGGTTTGCCTGTCTGCAAGTGAGCTGCGGGGGCCGGGGCTAGCAAACCCTAGCTGTGGTCCTGGGGGGCAGAAGGGAAGGAGGGAGAAATTAACCCCCACCCTGCCCCCTTTGCTTTGATAGGGCCATGCCGGGATGGCATCTGGCTATGCCCCCATTGCTGAAAATATGAGAGGAGGGGGTTTATTCCACCCCCACTTCCCTGTCCCACCAGCAGGGACCACAGCTGTCCTGGCATGGCCCCATTAAGGTTAAAGGGGCAGGGTGGGGGTTAATTCCCCCCCTCCACCGGGGACCGCAGCAGGGTGGGGAGGGGGGTCTCTGTGCAGCACTGCCTGGCTCCAAAGGGGGATTCTTCCCCCCCACTACCTCCTCTCCCCTGTACGGCAGGAAGGGGGGCTCTGTGCAGCAGTGCCCAGCCTGTGCATGGGGAGAGGCTGTCACTGAGCTGCAGCTGCTGGGGAGGGTCCTGCCCCCACAGCCCACCCCAGCCCAGCCCAGCCCAGCCCCGCTCAGCCCTGACCAAGGCAGCCACAATGTGGCCAGGCTGAGCCATGGGGGCAGGGCCCTCCCCAGTGGCTTGTTAGCAAGCACAGCCTGGCCTGGCGTGGCATGCATGGGTGGTGGCTGGCCAGGCAGCGGGCACCCAGGATGTCTCAGAGGCACCGCAGTAGCTTATGTGTCCAGGCATTGCCCCATTGCCCAGATTTCTCTCAGCTGTCATGGAGCCGCTGCTGTGGGCAGGGCTCTCTACCCCTCTCCTTCTCTCCTGCCACTGAGGTCTGGTCATGTCCCCATCTAGCCAGGCTCCCAGTTCCCCCACCCACTGAACCCTGCAGGCCAAGGTGGGGATTTAAACCCCTCCACAATTATACTCAGGCCTCCCAGCCACACCATGCCACCCTCAGCTCAGCTTCCCTGTGGATGCAAAGGGCTGGCCGCTCTAGTGCTCCCAGGCTTCTGGCCTGAGCCACTGCAAGCATGTGCCTGCATTTCCAGAATGAAATGTGGATGTGCGTCCACTTGCAAATCAGTTCAAGCTCTGCAGGTTAGACTAATCTGCAAAGATTGAATCAATTCAGGATCAGGATTTTTTAATGTCTTTCCCTAGCCCTTGTCTCCCTTCACTTATTTTGTAGGTACTTATGAGGTACAGTATGTTGCTGTATAGCAGAGAGAGGAGGCATGGTCACAGGAAAGGGGACTAGTAGGTAAATTTGTCCTTATGTATTTGATCCTTGTTTTGGCATCTTGGTTCTGGTCATGGATGACTTGCATTAGGGCAGCTATTTGGCTGTTCTGACATGCTCCAGGAATATTAGCTTTGCGCAGAGCAGCACCAGATTACAAAGAGTGGAAGAATGAACTTTAAACCTCCTTTCTTTCCTTCGCACCAGGTGTACTGCCCCACAGAGGAGGATCAAATCATATTTGTTCTGGACTCCCATGTGTCTTTGCAGTACTTACACTAAAATGGCAGTGCCATCATATAAAGTAGGTTTAAAAATACTCCAGAAGTTGTGGTTTATCCAGATAGTGAGGAATAGACTCAGTGGTTTTCCCATAAAGGAGATGTCTTCACTTGGGAAATTTCTGAATGAACTCCTTTGTTAAGAGTAGATGTATACATCTTGCCATAGTGTGGTGACAGAAGAAAGGTATAAGAGGCACAAAAATGGAAGAGAAGTTATCATTATATGAGAGAGGTTACAATTACACAATCAG